TCTGGGGAGCTCGGGGCTTATTCTCGGACCCCAAACTCCAGATCACAAAGGGAAAAACATTGCAGACCCCTCCAGGTTCAACAGCATTTAGGAACCTAAAGCCCGTCCAGCCTGTCCCTTTGCTCTCCTGTGACCGCTGCGGGGACACGAAGAACATGGGTACAGCGTGGCTAGCATTCAGCTGTGGAGCCGAGGTGTGGTCTTTTTAGAAAGAACTGCGGCTCCTGGTCCCTCTGCCCACCCATTTCCCCACCCCTGCCCCATTCAGAAAGCACCTAGAGAGGCGGAGCCAGGCTCCCCCGAAGGCAGTTTCCTGCTTTGCTCTCTGCTGAGGACACAGCTGGGACAGAGCAGCATTAATCGTTGCCACCCGGGGCATTTTAGTCTTAGGTCACAGTTTCCAACCACACCTCCACCCCTGTGACCCACTGGTCACCTGGAGTCCTGCCAAAGAAATGTGTGGAAAGTCCCCCCAGCGCCCGGGAGGGGCAGTGTTCACACAGTGAGAAGCAGGCCCAGGAGGCAGGGGTCCCATCCGCTGTCCTGGGAGCCAGCTGAGGACGTGGAGCCACAGGGCCTGGGTGGCCCCCACCGAGTGCCCCTGCCCTGCCCTGCTGCCCGGCCCATGTCCTGCTTCTTCGGTTCCTCTGGGACCACCGTCCCCAGTGCTCCGTCCCCAGGGCCAGATTGGGCGGCCTGCCTCTGCTGGGGCAGCCCGGGGTGCCAGTGAGGGAGGGTGGGGCAGCGGGCACAGACCCCACAGCCCGCTGCAGAGGGAGGCCGTGGCCCCGCCCACAGCTCAGGAAAGACGGGGGAGAAGTGGGAGGGAGGAGGGCACAGGAGGGACCCTTGGGCCCGGACGTGCATGTGTTTCCCCCTGACCCCAAGGCCCAGGGCAGGACGGGGCGGGACAGGGTCCGCTCACTGGTGGGCACTTGGGCTGCTCCCAGCACTGGGCTCCTGTAAACTGTGCTGCTGTGAACGTGGGGAGCAGGGCGCTTTGGATTGGGGTTTCAGGGTTCCCTGGGTATGACCCCGGCAGGGGGGTCGCTGGATCAGAGGCAGATCCCCGGTGAGCTCCCCGAGGACCCCCACACTGTTCCCACAGGGGGGACCCGTGTGTGCCCCCGCCAGCAGGGCACAGGGCTGGCTCCCTGTGCCCCCCACCGCGCCCGCCCCTGCTGTCGGTGGGCGTGCTGGTGCGGCCTGCTGGCCGGCGGGAGGCGGCCCCTCGCTGCTGCGGGACAACTCTGACCTGCGGGCACACCTGCCCGAGTGTGCGGAGGTCCCGCTGGGAACAACCCGGTTCCTTCCCGTGTTGGAGGGGGCTGGAGGAGGGGAGCCGGGGACTGCGTGATGCAGCATTTAAAGTCTCACACAGTCCACTGGTGCCCGGTGACCCCGAGTGCAGAGCCTTCCTGAGTGGACCCCTCAGAGGGAGGCCCCTCGTGTTCTGGGGGAGGGGGAGCGGGGGAGGAGAGTGAGGCCAGATTAAATTCCTTGTCGCAGGAACAGCACAGACCTGGGCTCTCCGGACCGCACGGACCCCTGTTGCAGAGTCAGATCGTGTCCCTCCTTCCCGGGCATCGCTGGGGCTTTGTCGCAGGCAGCGCCTCCTTGCAGCGCCCCGGGGCCAGCGGACATGCAGGCTCATTGGAACTACACGGCAGCGAGCACACTGTCGCTCACTCTCCATCTTCTGCGGTCCCGCACCCTCTCCCCTTACCTCCGTGTCCATGGGGGCTGGGGGTGGGGTGGGGGGGCGTTGTTTATAACCCCCTTCTTATCAATCAATGAATAAATCTATCTCCAAATAGCATAAAGATAAAATAAAAACGCCTTTCTTGTCATTTTAGGGCGGACAACTAGCAGGCACCAGATACTTCTTTTTAAAGATTTTATTTATTTATTTTTAGACAGAAGGGAAGGGAGGGAGAGAAACATCAATGTGTGGTTGCCTCTTGCGTGTCCCTCACTGGGGTCCTGGCCCTGAGCCTAGGCATGTGCCCTGACTGGGAATCCAACCAGCGACCCTTGGGTTCCCAGGCCGGGACTCAGTCCACTGAGCCACACCAGCCAGGGCCTAGTGACATTTTACGTGCACAACACCACGTTGTTAACTACAGGTACTACCTCCTAGGTTGCCCCGAGTCTCTTCTTGCTGAACTCTACACACTCTGGACAGGGGGGCCAGACTCCACTGAGGAGCCGGAGGTGGCAGCTGTGTCAGTAACGTCGGAAGGGTCACCGCCCAGCTGGTTCTGCAGGCACACAGGGCCACCGCCCTCTGCCCACCCGCGGGCACCTGCGGGCTGTGTCCTGGGAAGGACAGTGGCCAGGAGACGCCCCAACGTGAAGGGTCCGGACGGGGAGCCTGTCAGTCATCCAGACCTTCCCGGGTCCCGCCCCAGGCCTCATGGAGCAAAACAGGGCGCCTGTCACCAAGGCTTGGAAAAGCTCAAGTTCTGAAGCCACGAAAGGGAACAAATCACCCCAGCAACGTGGTTCACGGTGAAACAGGAACCAAGAACACGCTTCACTGGAGAGATGACAGGAACCCAGCTGCCCTTTTCCACCCGGACGGCCTGTCCCGGGCCCACCATCGCTGAGGCCTTTTTGGGCCTCCTGCCACTGGGACCCAGCCCAGCCTGCCTGCACCCCAATGCGGTTGTGAACAGTCCAGGGACCCCTGTCAGTGGCGTGCTGGGTGCCCTGATGGTGGGTGCTGGTGTGGCTGAGCAACCTGTCACCTGGGTGCCTCCCACATCTCCAAGCCCCCACCTGGAGGCCCAGCACGCCCTCGGGAGCAGGGGGACCACAGGGACCGAGGGCCTTCCAGAGCCTGAACTGGGGGAGCTGGGGGCTGGGGGCGTCTCAGAGGAGCTGGCCTCACACTTTCCCCAGCCAGGGGACACACCCACGTGCAGCGTGTGTCCTGAGGGAAGGTTGCCCCAGACTGTCAGGAATCCGCGGGTCCCGGGGAACCAGCCGTTTGACGCCCCCGTCTACCCCAGTGAAGCCAGGGACTCGGTGGGCAGGGTCGCCAGGGCTGCTCACCCAACCCTCCCGGCCAATAAAGGGGTCCTGACGCCCAAATGCGCGGTTTGCCCGCCGCGAAGAACGCCGTCATAAAATCCCGGTCCTTTCATGTGAGCCCCGTCCGGCACCCCGCCCGCCACCCCCCCCTTCCACAGCCCCATTTTCCTGAGTGCCCAGCTCGGGCTCCCTCCGCCCACCCCCAGATGACACCCGGCCAGGCAGAGGACCAAGTACCCCTCACGCTCGGCCTGTCCCCGAGGTCCAGCTGGGGCAGCAGGGCGAGGCCCGGATGGGGCCACATGGGACCGTCACGGGTAGAGGCGCAAGAGGACCCTGGCACAGCCCAAGGGGCGGCTGAGGCTGCGCAGGCGATGGTCTCACGGGGCAGGGCCTCAATCCCAAAAGGGTGTCCCGAGCTCAGGCCCAGTCTGTTGGGGACAGGTGGTCTCCCCTCTGCCTCCTAGGCAGGCGTGTACCCCGAGTCTCCGGCCACACCAGGCCTGGAAGCCGGCCCACCAAGACCCCGGAGGACGCAGGCCCAACAGGACCGGGGTGACCCCTGTCTGACCCGGGGGCCAGCCCCTCCGGCTGGGGTCACCCCTCAAATGCCTCATTGAGCACTCACCTTGCTCCTGGGAGCAACCCGTTACCCTAGTAATCCTGGACCCCAAACCGCAGGGACTCATTCCCAGAATCTGGTGCCCTTGGTGGGACTGACAGTCCTGCCCCACCCCACCCCGCCCCGTGGTTTGCCTAGGGAACGGGTCCGGTCGCTGGGCAACCGCCCCAGGCTTCAACACCACCGTCCCGCGGCATGCTGGGAGTTGTGGTGTACAGGTGGACGTGGCCGGCGCACTGGAGCCTTGTCCCTGGGATCACGCAGGGTGCTGGGGAGGACAGTCCCTCGATGAGGCCCCGCACAGGGCGAGGGGCAGAGGTCGAAGTCCCTCTGCGGAGACGCAGGCCTCAGGGACAGGTCATCTCGTGCATGGGTGTTGAAGTCAGCATGACCCCCGTGGTGTGGGGACAACCCCCCAGCCAGACGGTCAGAGATCCGCCCCTGGGGCTGCAATGGGCTGGCCCGGACAGAAGACCAGTTCCAAGCAGGCTGAGAGGAAGGGACTGGGGGTGGACGGGGGGCGTGCGTTCCAGGCAGAGAGGACTGTCCTGCGAGTGACCCCAGGAGAAGGCAAGATGCTGACAAACTCAGTGTGACCACAGGACCCACGCAGCAACGCCAGCCAGAGTTTGGGACTTGAGGTGTGGGCTGGGGCTGGCAGTTCTCCTAAACAAATCAGGAACGGCAGAGACCCTCCCCAGGGTGGGGTAAGGGGGGGTGGCGGGGAGGGTGGAGGCCAGATCTGTGCTCCCACCCCCAGTCCAGCTGCAGTGGAGGAGCCTGGACTCGGGGAGGCCGGAGGGAAGCCGGAGTGGACAGAAGCTGAGTCAGTGACGGGAGCAGCGTGGAGGGAGGCAGGGCCTAGGGGGCTGGGCACACAGGTCTGGGAGGGACAGGGGACCCTCACACCCTGGGGTGGGGGGACTCGGGAGGAGATGCCTGCGGGGACGACGCCCAAGGGCCTGGACGGGACAGGCTGGCTGGAGTGGCGTGGACTTCGCTGAGGGACTGCGTGGGAGCTGAAGGTGCTCGGCGCCCCACGGGAGTGCGGGGCCCGGGTGAGCACCTCCAAGGACGGGTGCTGTTCGGGGTGAGTGTGGGAGGGGCAGGGCGGGCGCGCTGTAAGGGGAAAGCTGGACAGACGGTGCTGTCACTCCCAGGGACAGAGGCCCCGGGGACACCACAACCCGGACAAGAGGCCACTCTAGCCTCTGGTCCCCGATTCGGGGCCCTGCACCCACAAACCACACCCTCGGCTCCCCTGACTCTCTGTGCACCACGTCCCCTTCCCAGGACAACACACCTGAAGTTGTCCACCCAACAGGAATGAGAGGCAACACCATTTAGAATATAAATTTTACTGGGTAAAAAAGTTTCTACAAACATGTGAACACACTATGGAAGAGAAATTTTAACACATAAATAAAACTGGAAAAGCACATATGCTGAACTGTCTAAAGAAGAGTAGAAAGGTCTCTAAAGCTGGCATGTGAGTGTCCCCATGTCCCAGGCGCTCCCAAGTGGAAGCCGGGGACATCACAGTGCCTGAGAGATCAACAAAAGAGCTGCTGGGGTCACACACGTGAACAGCCATCCCTCCTGGCCTCTGTTTCTGGAGGAGGCCACGGCTCTCGGGCCCACCGAGCACAGCCCGTGGGTCCCTCCTGAGCAGCTCACGGCACCCGGAGTCCCCTGAGGGGCAGCCTCTACGGCACATGGGCTGCAGGCAGAGAGCCCCGTGGCCACATGGACCTCCCCATCGGAAGCTTCCCGAAGAAGCTCCTTGGACACGGAAGGGGCTCCGTCCCACCTGGGATCTGTGAAGGTGCCCACGGGAAGGGACCTGGGGAAGGTCAGCACCCAGGATGCTGCTAAGTCCCAGTCATTGCCAAAGGAGCTGACTCCAGTTCGGGGCTCTGCGTCCTCACGACCTAAGATACCTTCAGCACCAGCTCGTTGCTAACATTCTCCAGACGATCCCGCAGCTGCATCTCACGGAGGGCCGCCACGAGCCCGCAGGGGGATGCGATGTGCTCCAGCTCGCTCTGCCAGCGCGGCAGCATCCTGTGGTGCTGCTCCGCCAGGGTCCCCGGGTCCCCGTGCTCACAGGTGACAAGGTCGTTCTCCTCCAGTCCCTCGGACCTCATGAACATCCTCCAGGTAGATTTGGGAACCTCCTGCCCGCATTCGGAGTAGATCCTGTTCGTGGCTGAAAAGAGAAAACCAAGGAGGGAGACTTGGCCTCGTCCCTGGGAGGCAGGCGTGGCGTGTGCTGTGCGCTGTGAGGGTCCCAGCTGGCAACCAGGTCCAGGGTCCGCAGGAGGCCCTGGGCGCCCAGGCTGCCCTAGCAGAAGGGACCAGGCAGGGGGACAGGAGAGCGCGGTAGGACACGACCCGGCCGGGCTCCTGACAGGCCTGACGCTCATTCACACGGAGCCAGGGAGCCCGGCAGAGGGGCCTGCGGGGCCCGAGGGGGGGAAGCCCCGGGGGGTGAGGTGTCCACTGAGGCGGCCCCTGCTGACCCGCGGGACCAGAGCGGCTGTGCGGGCAGCAGGGGCGAGGTCTGTAACCTCGCTGGGCTCCCGACTGTCTGACCTTTGGATCTGCCACGTGGGGGGTCCCCCTGAGCTGTCAGAGGACGAGAGTACAAGCAGCACGCGGCCTGTCGCTGGTGCCGCAGGAAACCCTCACCCCCGTCCCACTGACAGCAGCGCCGCAGCCCCCGGGGCCTCACCAGGCCTGGGTCACCCAGGCCTTCCTACCGGCCACTCACGTTCCTGCTCAAACCCGTGGATGCACAGTAACGCAGGGCCGCCTGCGTCTGCCCTCACAGCCAGAGGTGACACTGGACGGAGGCCCGTGTGCCCTCATGTCTGCAGTGAGTGTCGGACTGAGAGTCTGATGCCCACGGGACGTCCCTGAGCTGCCTGGGGGCCCAGGGTCCCGCTTCCCAGAAGGGAGGACGTTGGGTCATGACGTCACACCTCGACAGTCACTATAAGGGAAGTCCTTAGGGGACTTACCCTCAGGGGACTTACCCTCAGGGGACCCGTCCTTCAAAACAAACTTTTCTTCATATTCCTGCGGAGAGAAAGGAATAAAACTTTCAGGAGACTCCGGGGTGGCTTCCTAGTGGAATCTGCGGAAACAGCCGCCCGAGTTCGGGTGGGCGGGGCCGGCGGGGGCAGCGGGGCCTCCACACGCTGTCCAGTCAGTGTCTGGGGACGGGGCCCGGCCTCTCAGAAGGGGCAGAGAGCGCACAGCCCACCTGCCCTCCGGGTCACACTCCCCAGGACACGGCCTGGCCCGGGGCAACACTGAGCTTCCTGCTGCCCTGCCCTGGAGGGACACCAGCCTGCACTGGACGCCGGACAGGCTCCCCATCCTTCTGAGACCCTGCGCACACCGTCCCCCTTCCTGAAGGGTCCCTCTCCCGAGGGTCACGTAGGGAATATCTGGTCATCCCGTCAGGTCCTACTCAGCTGTCACGGCCTCATTCAGGCCCCGATGGAAGGAGGACAGTGAGTGTGCTCCGGACACTGGTGGTCGTGGCGCCTGTGTCCGTCCCACAGGGACATGCGGCGCCGTGTGTGCGCCCTGCCTCCAGCGCCCATGGCCGCTAGACCTACCCACTCCTGATGACGCACACAGCACACGGGAGGGGCTGGGGCCACAAGACCTCGGAGGCCGCGGTGCGCGCTGGAGACTGAGGGGTCAGTGCTCATGAGCCGGGTCTCCTCCAGGCAGCGCCCTCCCAGCGCTGGGACCTGGGAGAGCTCGGTCCCTGGGTCTTGGTGGCCCCGGGGAGCCACCGTTCCCTCGGGCAACAGGTGTGGTGGGGATGTCACAGGCTGCACTGTGTCCCCAAAGATGTGGGTGTCCTAAGCCCAGAAACCGGAGTGCAGCCTTGTCTGCCAACTGGGTCGCTGCAGCTGGGACCTGTCCAGATGAAGCCCTAACTCAAAAAGACTAGTGTCCTCTTTTAGGGACACAGACATGCACAGGGGGACAACGCCACGGGAACCTGAACATCCGCCCCCAGCACAGGGAGACACTAACATTCTGTCCTTTAAGCTGCCTGGTCTGTGGGGCTGCGTCTCCGTCACCGGGGAAACTCGGACAGGAAGTTAGGGCACGCAGGGCAGCACTGCGCACGCCCTGCACGCACACGGCACGTGTGCCACGGACACAGGTGTCCTTGCTGTCACACCTGCCCAGATGCCCCTCACCAGGTGTGAGGTGTGTAGGGGAATCTGCCCCCCCCAGAGGCACCTGGGTCTGCAGCGCCTGCTCCGGGGTGGCCCTGCCTGCTTCGGGGCACCACCGCCTGCAGCTCGACACTGGCCTCAGAGTCCTCAGGGGACCGCACGGCTGCGCCCTGCTGCTGCAGCAGTGGTCTGGTGTCCGCGCCGGCAGCTGGTGGGCCGCGCTCTGCATCCTGGGGCAGTAGACTCACCCTGGGCTGGGTGCCTCCCTGTGACTGAAGAAGAAAGCCGTGACTTTTGGTAGCAGGGGCCTGCAGCGCAGCCCTCCCCAACCGCTTCTGGGAAAAATGCCACCTCGTCTGGCAGCTCAGGTGGGGACGTGAGGTAGCAGAGAAAAGTACTTCGTGGGGTCAGGTGCAGGGTGGCCCCCCAACTCTGCAGGGAGTCTGAGACAGGGGGGCTGTGTTTGAACCCAGCAAGACAGGGCTGCATCCAGACCCCTGGGACCTGGGAATGCGGCCTTTGCAGACGAGGGAGCCGTACTGGACGAGAGTGGGCCCTACGTCCAGTGCCCACTGAGGATCATCAGGAGACAGACCCACGGGGAAGAGGCCGGGTGAGGACTGAGGCCGGTGCTGACTGATGGGCGCTCACACCAAGGAGCACCCGGGAGAGCTGACCACCCGAGACGAGGTGGGCCCAGGGGCGGGGGGACCTGCCCCCAGGGCCTTGGACGAAACTGGCCCCCTGACCCCCAACCTAACACCTGGATCAGACTTGTGGCCTCCACATCCGGGACATGGTCAGTTCTGTGTCTTTCAGCCCCGAGTTGGGGAGGACGTTTCGCAGCCCCGGGAAGCCGTACAAGCCCCGTGCCCTCTGCGCCGCCCTGTGCACCCCGAGATCTAGGCCAGCAGAGTGGGGTCTTCCCCAGCACGGCCGCTCCGGGCTCTAGTGGGGCCATGGGGGGAGCGGACGCCGCCCGAAAGGCTGAACTGCGCACGCTGGGGACGCGGATGGGGACTTACCGAGCTGGTCCTGCTGCGTCTCTGGAAATAAACAGAAAATGAAGTCCCGTTAAGGGGATGCAGAGAATGCAGGGGGTGGGTGTGGGCAGGGCAGGGAGGTCGTGACCTCCTGCAGCTGGGCCACACCTTGGGCACTTCCCCCCCCCTGCAGCTCTGCCTGCTGCTTCCTTCTCACCTCGGGCTCGCTCTCCTCATCCTGAGTCGGCGCCTTCTTCCTTTTCCAGTGTCCCAACAGCAAGTACACCACCGCCACCACCACCACCACCACCAGCACAATACCCAGCACGATCACGAGCACCACCATCCAAGGCTGTGTGTCCCTGAAGAAGGAGCCTGCGAAGGGGTGGCGTCAGCCCCTGAAGGGATCTTTCTGTCCCCAGAGCGCCCAGACTCTAACTGTCGCACAGTCAGGACGGTTTTCCTGAAACGTCTCCGCCCCCATGGGATGAGATGGAGCATGAGGACGCACACACAGTGTCACTGACGTCCCCTCTGCACCCCCCCCACTGACTACCTGCCCCCCCACAGTCAGCAGAGTCTGGTGGTGAAGAACAGACTCTGGGTCTGGGGGCCTGGGTTCCAGTCCCGGGTCTCCTGCCCGACCAGCGCTGTGACCTTGAACGAATGACATAACCGTCTGTTGCTGGCATCCTGATCAGTGAGAGCATTCAGTTAGTGCTTATGCAGTGCCTGACGCAGGGTGAGTGCCACGCAGGTTTCATTCAGTTTTTAAAACGGATTATTTCATCTTGGTGATGGCGAAATCAGGCCCCTATGTGGCTGGTGAGCAAGGTATCTGTCCCGTCCTGTGTCTTGGCGACCTGCCCGCTCCAGCACAGCCCGCAGGCCCGTGTCTCTCCCCCAGGGCAGCGCCCATTGCACATTGGGTCCCCTCCGGTGGGCACTCCTAGGCTCTGCCCTTTGTCCCAGGATCACAGGTTTAAAAATACCCGGTCACAGGGGTCACGTCCCACCGCTGCAGGCTGGTCCGTGGGGTGGTCCCAGAAGTGGGTTTGGCATCAGTCAGTGAGCCGTTCGGGTGCAGATGGCCCTGCGCCCCCACAGCACAGGGCCGACCCCCACAGCAACACCATCCAACACCAGGAGCACAGACGGCTACGGGGCTGTCTCCCCACAGCCCGCCACCAGAGGGCGCCCACCCCCTCGTTTGTCCTGCTGCTGCCAAATACACAGAGGGAAATAGTTCCCTGTTCCAAGGAATTTGTCATCCTCCTGGGAGTTTTACCTTCCTGGAAACCGATGATTTCCGTTTTTGCTCCTTTATCCACCATGTTCCTTTACATAGTAAGAAGATTAGCCCTTTCACTGAGATTTGGGTTGTTTGTGTTTCCCCCTCCTGGTGTGTTTGCTGAAGTTTCCCATCTGCCCCCACGACCCACTGCCTGGCACCGTGTGTGGCAGGAAGAGCTCAGAAGGTGTCTGTGACATAAACCACCTCAGGGGAAGGAGCCCACATTCCCTCTCTGTGCCCCTGAGGGACCCAGGTCATCAGCAGACCACCACACCTTCCTCCAGGGACCACCCAGGAGCCCAGGGCAGGGGGCAGGGCACTCACCTGCGATGGAAAGCCTGGCTGACCTCTCCTGGCCCAGCAGAGGGTTTCTGATGACACAGGCCACCCCCTCCCCAGAGCCGACTTCCAGGATCACAGAGGCTGAAGCTGCATAAAGGCCCTGGGGGTCTGCAGCCTCAGGTGCTGCCTCCGAGGGCAAGCTGTGTCCCCTGGCGTCTCTCCACTGGATCTGGGGCTGCGGGTACCAGCCGGCAGACGTGCAGTTCACACGGATCCCTCCAGCCTCGTAGCCCTTCATGTCCATGTGGGGATCAGAGCCCAGCGCTGGGGAGGAAAAGTGAGCTGAATCGTGGGGAGCCCTCTGTACTGGTGGGGTGTCCTTACCAGGGAGGGGCGCACACACTTACCAGCCCAGCAGGGACTCACCAGGAGCTGCTCCCAGCGTGTGCTGTGCAGCAGAGACTGATGCCCGATGGGGCCACGGTCTGACTCTGGCTGGACCCTCGTGCTGGATCCAGGGGGCTCTGGGCCAGAGCAGGGGCTACTTCCCCCACAGCCGGTCTGTGTCCCAGACAGGCTGGTCCCTGGCACAGCTGCTCATCCCTCCCTGGGCAAGCATGCAGGTGGTGCCCCTTAGCCTAAGTGGGTCCCATGGCACCGCCCCTGTCTGTTCTGCCTGTCCTGTGGGGGCCATGCTGTCCTGTGAGCAGGAGGAGACACACTGTGTCCTGGAGCCGCCCGAGCAGGGACTTATATGCACGGCCCCTCGGGAGGCTCCTTCCGCCCTCACTGCCAGGCTGCTCAGATCGCCTTGCAGGGTCTCCCCCTGGAAGTGTCCACAGCGAGGCTGTGCAGAGGGGAACCTTTCCCACGGAAGACAGCGGACCCGGGGCCAGGAAGAGGGGAGCTACTGCCACCTGTCCCCACCCCCTGAAGACACGGAGGGGGAGGAAGCCCTCTGAGGACCTGAACACACAGAGTCCTGCAGGGGGGGCTCCGTCGGGGGAGCCGAGGTCTCCAGGAAGGGACAGCAGGCTGAGGAGGGGCCGTGCGGGGACCAGGCCGGGGGGCCGCACCGTCCCTGCTCCACCAGCCCCCCCGCACTGGAAGCCACAGGGCAGGGCTGTGTCCGGGGAACGAGAACTGCAGCCCTGACGCCTGGACACGAGCACTTTCGTGGGGCAGCACCTCAGACAAGGCGCTTCGTCACTGGGGTGGGTCAGGGCCACGTCAAGGCCACTCAAGGGTGGGGTGACAGCACAGAGGAAACAGGAACCGTGTGCAGTGACCCACCTCCCTGTGCCGGCTGTGAGTGACCAGTGACACCCCGCACCATCCTGACCGCGTCCCACCCAGAGCCCAGCGCTGCTTCCACATCCCCCCGAACCGCACGAAGTCCTCCCTGACGCCCCCTCTCTGAGACACCCCGGTGTCCTGGTCCCCAGGGGAGCGTCCTCCCTCGCTGCACCGAGGACGGACACAACCTGTGCAACTGCAGCTGTGTTCCCGGGGGTCAGCGGGGAAACTGGGCCCCACAGGAGTTGTCTCTGTAGGTCAGACTCCTGGACCCAGTGCAGCGGGCAACTGGGGGTCCCACGGCCCTGGTCTGGAACATGCTGAACCCAAACACCCGTTTGCCACCCACTGCGGGGAGGTCCCCTTCCTCCCGTCCTGGACCTCCACCCCCCTGCTGAGACTGGTGGGCAGCATGGGGGACTCTGTACTGGGTGCAGGAGGAAGTCACCCTGGGGGACCCCTGGGTGTGTCACAGGCCTCAGAGGAGCAGAGATGGAGGTGGGGGGGCACCCATGCTGGTGAGCAGCCCACGTGCTCTGGGGTAGGTCTGCAGCCTCTGCCCCCGCCCAGGGAAAGGAGCCTGGAACAAGCCTGAGGCTCACCTGCCACCTGCAGCTCCACCTGGGCTTTTGCAGAGAAGTCTCCATCTTGGAAATAACACAGGTAGGTTCCGTTGTCAGAGACGCTGACGCTGTGAATCCGGAGAGCGGCCTTCCCCGCAGTGACGTCCTCTCGTAAAATCGAAGTTCTCCCTCGAAACTCCTCTGCCGGCGTGTCCTCCTGCCCGTGTGCGTACACGTGCACTACCTGCCTGTGGCCGGGTCGCACCCACATCAGCTCCATGGTCTCAGCGCTCATCTCCGGGGACAGGTGACAGGGCAGGTCTGCGTCTTCACCCACCATGGCCAGGATGGGCTCGGGGGGTCCGACCATAGCAAACACAGCTGGTCATCAGAAGGGGGGGGGGCTCCGTCAGAGGGAGCAGGGTCAGAGGGCCAGGGTGTGACCCAGGCAGGGAGGGTGAGATGACAGACACCTAGACAGGAACTCAGTCCTCACACAGGTGCGGTGTGGATGGGCCTTGCAGGGGGTGGGCGGAGTCCCGGGTTCTGGCTGGGCCCGAAGGGGAAGGACGCACACACACAGACGCACAGCCGGTCCTACCTGAGCAGGGGCTGAGCAGCTGGACCACGGCGAGGCACACAGGGAGGGCAGGCAGACGGGGCACCAGGCACCTCCCCATCCTGACCTGCTGTGCACAGAGAGAGGCCAGCAGGGGCTGGGCAGCAGGGACCACCTGGAAGGAGGAGGAGGGATTCCACGTGGAGAGGCTGCCTGCCCCAGGGCCGACCCGGGCACCACCGCCATCACTGGGGACCCCAGAGCCTCCTCTGCAAATGTGCCCTGGGGGTCTCTTCACCTTGGATCCCTCCATGGAAATCAGCCATGAAACATGGATCGGTAATGCAGATACCTTATCCCTCGCCAGCAGGGAGCACCGGGCTCTCCTGTGGGAACCTGCTCAGAAGCCCCCCCCACTTGCCCACACTTCCCTGCCCCAGCCAGGTGCCCCCCCCCAGACCACCCTCTGAGGAAGGCAGGCCCCTCTGCTCTGAGTCTCCATCCCGCTGCTGCCCCCTGCAGGCCGCGCTCTGCACAGCAGCCAGCGCGTCCTGCCCCATCACCTCCCTCCTGCTCAGCCCCTCCCAGGGGGTCCCCTGTCACCCAGGGCAGAAGCCCAGGGCCTTTCCACCCTGTGCTTTAAATTATCTGACTGCTTTAGGGGATGGCTGGGTTGGGGTGCAGTGGTTCAGGGAAAATGGAGAGAACTGTACTTGAACAGAATTAAAATCATAATAAATAATAAGAAAAATATCTCAATGATTTGAAAGATTAAAAATTTCCCAGAGTGGGGGGACACATTTCTACAATATTTTGAAGGGTATTTACTGTTTTTTCATTCCTATCACAGACCAACTTTAAAATAGAAAGCCTAAAGGAATGAAATTTAAATAACTCAGAATGGGAATTACATCCTGTGTTTCACGTGAATGTGAACTCCGTGGATACATTTGGTCACATGTACTCAAGGGGTGACCCAAAAAGAGAATCTATTTATAAAAACTGTTTTTATTCTCACACCTTTGCCTTCAGTCACCCTCACATGCTCCCCCCTGGATGGGGGACACCCGTGGGGACATCCCTCCACCGCCCTGAACACTCTCTGGACTCAGCGGCTCTGACGCCTCTTAGTGCTTCTGCCGTTTTGTTTCACGTCTTACGATGTCGGGGATGTTTCCCGTTTGTGGACTCTTTTTCACCGGGGAAAGAAAAACAGTCGCGCTGGGTGAGATCGGGGGAATAGGGAGGGTGGGAGCACCTGGGTTTGGTCAAAAACTGCTCAACATTCTGCAGGTATGGACAGGTGGGCTGGTAAAGTCACCCTGTCAGGGAAATGGGCCAGTGCTCTGGGAAGAGTCCTCAAAAAAAATTCAGTGAAAGCCCAACGCCAGCCTCTCACAACAAACGCCCAGCTGGTCACTGATGCAGATGGGCTCCTAGAACTTTCTCTGCCTAGTGGGGAAGCCTGGACTACAAGGGGACACACCCGTCCAGAAGGTAACTGCTGGTTTGTTTATTTTTTTTTCCTGTTTCTGGTTTTGGGTCACTCCATGTATACCAAATGCCCTGAAAAAAGTTTTATCATGTAGCACCCAAAGATTACATTGGCAAGAATTGCTTTTAAAGAGAAACTGGCAATAATACAAAAATTGACATTTAATGCTGTTCATTATAGTAAAATCTGCAAGAGGACTGTGTATAAATTGTATCCAATTTTGTTATAATTCTGAATAAAAACGTGTTATGAAAAACATAATTCCTTCCCTAGCTTGTGGGGGTCAGTGTACTGAGTGCAGGGTTGGGAACCAAAGGGTCACTGGTTTGATTCCCACTCAGGGCACAATCTTGGGTTGTGGGCCAGGTCCTCAGTAGGAGGCGCATACCAGGCAACCAGCACACTGAATGTCTCTCTCTCCCTCCTTCTCCCTCCCTTCCCTCTCTCTAAACAGAAATAAAATAAATCTTTAAAAAAACAAACAAATGTAATTCCTAGACACACCATGACACAACACACAATGGTGAGAAGCTGAAAGCTCCCTCTGTCCGATCAGGAGGGAAGACAGACGCCCACCCTCACCACCCCCCGCCCCAGAGCACTGGGAGTCCGAGCAACAGCGGTCACGCGAGACAGAGACAAACAGCAAGCACATCCGAGGGAGGAGGAGCCTTCGCACTGCTCGCAGACGGCAGGACGGGCTACGTAGGACCGTTTGAGGACCCACGAAATCCCATGAGAACGTGCAAATGAAGGCAGTGAGGTCGCAGGACACAACGTGGACATCGGGTGCACATCCGTGCAGCAGTGACGGGTAACCAGAGGGAGGGTGTCGTCAGCCCCTCCTGCGGTTGCATCCGAAAAGCAGAAACCACCCTGGGAACAAGGTCAACCAGAGAGCGGACAGCCTGCGCCCTGACGGCTGGAGGAACCGAGAAAGGAGACGAAGTGGGGACACGCGATGGGGGACACACTGAGCTCACGGTCGGCAGGAGCAACTCTGTCACACCATCCTCGCTGCCCAAAGCCACGTGCAGACTCAGGCTGTCCTGGTTGAAACGCCGATGGCCTTCTCCTGTCAGAAGGACAACCAGGAATCCTGAACTATATTTATTGTCCATGCCTTGCGGTTTATTCCTCAGTGAGGCAGACATCTGTGCTGGGGGGAGACTGCGGGCCTTTCTACCTGGCCTGACTCCCTGCTCGGATTTAAGTCCCCCCTCCAAGTGCTCGGGACTGTGGGCTGGGTCGCTGCCCCAGTGGCGGGAACTCGGGGGTGGGAAGGTGGCAGAACCCCAGCCTCCTCCACAGACTGCAGGCCGCCCCAGAGGTGCGGGGTGAACCCTGTACGTTCCTCTCCGGACAGCGGCTCTGAATCCCCAGGGGGCCTCAGGGGGACCCTTGCACCACAGACTCCACCCATGTCATCCTTGCAGACACGCGTCCTGCTCACCCCGTCATCCTGTTCACCTGTGACACCTGCCCTTGGGGTGATTCCTAGGAGCCAGGTCGCTGCAGGGCGGGCTGTGGGAACCAAAGGGCCCCCGAGCTCACTGCGCCCACTCACCCTCCCGGCATTCAGCACAGGGCAGGCACGCCGTCTCTGGGTGTCGGTGGGTGGTGAAGGAGCCAGGCTGGCACAGGCTGTACTGGGTGACAAGGTCCAGGTCACAGTCTCTGCTGACGTAGGACCCTGTGGAGGGGGACACACGGAGGTGAGGCTGTGAAGGGACACCGACCTGTTCCCTGCGGCCTCTGCTTGAGGAGGTGCCACAGCACCTGGCCGCCTGTCCCCAGCACAGCACCAACAGCTGTCCCTCAGCTCCTGCCTGAATGGAACCTTCTGGACTGATAACCCAGCTCCATGTGTCCCAGGGGAGTGGGGACCTGACTCACCCTCGGCTCTTCCCGACCTGCTTCAGCTCTGGGAAGAGGGGTGCTGAGTGTGCACCCCAGAGCCTGCGCCCACCCCTCCCCCATGGACCCTCCGCAGCTTGCCGGCCAGGGCACAGACCAGCCTAAGTCATCCACAAACAGGCGTTCACCGGGTGCCGCGAGAGTTGATTTGTATTAAATAAAGGCTTTCTTTTTTTAGATTTTATTTATTTATTTTTAGAGAGGGAAAGGGGGGAGAGAGAGGGAGAGAAACATCAATGTGCAGTTGCTGGGGGCCATGGCCTGCAACCTAGGCATGTGCTGTGACTGGGAATCGAACCCTACGATACCTGGTTCGCAGCCAGCGCTCCGTCCACTGAATAAGGCCAGCCAGGGCAATGCCAGCCAGGGCCGATAAAGGCTTCTTAAAAGAAAATCCCCGACCACTCACGGAAAAGGCGACTTTGGTTTTGGTTTTAGCAACAATACCAAGCGCCCCAAACCCGCCGGTCCCTGCTCCTGCCCCTGCACTTCCAGGGCCACGCCCTGGGCTGGGAGCCAGCGCTCCTCCCACCCGCAGCCCCGCCCCCACGCCCTGGGGTTGCAGCCATGGCTACTACCACCCCCACCCGCCTCTGGTCAGAAACCGCAAGTGTCGGCTTCACCCCACTTCCTGCGAAGTCAGGGACTCCGCCCGCCGGGCTCCTCCGAGGCCCGGGGAGAAGGTGGACAGTGTCCAGTCCTCCCAGAAAGTCGTAGATCCAGTTCGGGTCCCCCTCCCCGGCGTGACCTGCGCCAGGGCACGCACCCCACGGGCCAGTTCCTGAACCGGCGTGTTACGAGCCGCGCACGAGGAAACTCGGCCTTGGGTTCCCCACCCCCGGCCTCTCCCGCGGGGAATCTGGGGTCCCGCGGGAGGGGGGATCGGGGCCGCCCCTGAGCCGGGACAGTTCCCAACACGAGCCGCTCGGACCCAGGGCGCGGGGGCGGGGGGCGGAGGGAAGGCGGCAGGTCTCCCCGTGCCCGACCCGGGCCCCGGGCCCCGGGCCCCCGGCCCGGCTCAGAGCTCGCCCGCCGCCCGCCTGCGGCCTCCTTGCACGTCCCCGGCGACATCAGACCCGCTGACGGGGTCCGCCACCCCCCCCTCCCAGAGCGCCCCGACGGGGAGCGGCGGCAAAGTCGGGGGCGGGGAGCGCAGAGACGGAGCGAGCCCCGCCCCGGGGCAGCGGCGGAGCCGGCGCCGGAGTTTCACTCCCGCCGCGGCGGGCGCGGGTCCCACACCCCGCGAAGGGCGGCGGGCCCCGCAGACGGGTCTGGCGCGGACTGGCCGGACCAGGGGCCTCCCCTACGACCGCGCCCCCAGGGGACGGCGCCTTTACGGACTCACTTCAGCTGCAGCTTCTGTTCGTCGGCTCCCAGCGAGTCCCCGGGAGCCAGCAAACACAAATGCTGCAGACGCCTCAGCGTTCAGACGGCCGAGGGGCAGGTCGGCCCTGAGCCCAGGGGCCTGGGGCCCGGCGGAGAAGCACCGTGAGGGCGTCCAGGCTGCTTCCCTTCGGGCGGCTCCGGATCGACCAGGGGCCCCAGCGACCAGAAACCGAAATCCCCCGCAGAGGCCCCGCCCCGTCCTCCCGCAGCGCCCGGACCCCGCCCCCTGCCCGGGCTGTCACTCCCTCTCCTCCTGGGGCTCCGACTCAGAGCGCGCCCCGCTGGGGAGCCCGCTGCACACGGGCTGGAATCCTCCCTCTTTTGGCTGCTTGATGCAGAGATAGATGATGATGGAAGGAAACAGGGAACAGAGAAAGCCCCCGACCCTCCAGGGCCGGCGTCTGCCCTCTGACAGCGGGAGAAACAGAAAGCGTCTCTGTGAGGTCAAACCCGACCTGGTTCCCAGCAGCCCCGGGACCAAGTTCAGACAGACCGACCCCACGTGCGCTCGGGAAGGACGTGAAAGCCCTCGGTCGGGACATCTGCATCCCGTGTGCACAGCAGCGCCGCTCATGAGGGGGGACACGGACTCCCCTCCGTGAGATGCACAGGCAGAACATGCGGCCCCCTGTGCGCACAGACACACGCACACCCACGCACTAGACCCCGTCAGCACAGGAAAGAGGACCCCTGCCATCGGAGGACTGTGGACCCACCGGAGATGGGGGCTCCCTGAAGCACTCAGACAGAGACACCCCCAGGTGACCCCATGTCACCACGAGGGACCCAAACACCATCCAACGTGGCCAGTCTTCCCCTCTGACCCCTCCAGGGGTTCTGTCATCTTCAGACCCTGCAGGTGGGTCTTTGGGTCGTTGTGAGTTAATTTCTGTGTCTGTTGTGACCTGACAGCCCAAGTCCTCCCGGGCCTGGGGACGTCCAGGGTCCCCAACACCACTGACTGAAAAGCTGTCCTTGTCACAGAGCGGTCAGGGCTCAGGGTCTGTTTGTTTAAAAGTGTCCCCGAGTCCCTGAGCAGGAGAGTGAACACCTCCACGCGTGTCTGTCTGCACCTACGTCTCAGTGTCCCTCGGCCACACAGAGAGGTGACGCCCTGGAAGGTCCCACCGTGACCCAGCTGCTGGGGACACGAGCCTGAACCAGAGAAGCCGGACACACAAGGACACATGTCATTGCATTCTGTGTCTGTGACCCGTCCTGAACAGGGGGTCCGTCCCAGAAAGTAACTCGGGGTTGCTGGGGGCCAAGGGGGAGGGGCGAGCTACTGGTCCCAGGGCTGATGGGAAGGAGCGGAAACTGCACTTCCCCCGTCAGATGGCTCCCCCGGGTCACAGGGTCTCCTCTCCTCAGACAGACCCCTCAACAACAGCGACTCCCTCTCACCTGGACCGGGCGGGCCGCACACCGTGTCTGCCGTGGAGTTGCACTGCTGCAGGACCACTGTCCCCTCGGGACACCTGGGGGTGGGGGGACACAGCTTCACTGTTCCTGCTTCCACGTCTCTCCAGCCCCAGGCACCCAGGTCTGCACTGTCACCAACAGAAGGTGTCTCCGTGGGGCGCTTCCCCGGCCAACTTTGGGGAGCACTGTGTGCTGTGATCACAGACCCCACGAGGGGCCCGGGGTCACAGGAAGCCCCAGCCTCACCCCAGAACCAGCCCTGGTCCCACCAGGAGGACAGTTGACCTGTTTCCCCCCATGGATGTCCATGGCCGTGTGTGTGGGCCTGGGAGCTGGAGGGGAGCGTCCGTCCTGCTTTAACAAAGGCTGGGGACGCAGCTGCTCCCTCCTCCCTGTTGCCAGCAGAGGGCGCACCGTCAGTGCAGCGCGTTCTGTCGGCCTGGGCAGGTTCGCCCACGCCCTGGGGAGCGACTCACCCGCTGAGGACCCCGTGTGGGTGCTCCCGGCACCCCCCCCACCCCGCACTGCACAGCAGGGCGGCACCTGTCCAGGCCTCTTAGTCACCGGCCCTGTGTTTCCTCCACCCCTAGGTTCCCACCTTTCTTCTGGGGAACTCGCGGCTTATTCTCAGACCCCAAACTCCAGATCACAAAGGGAACAACACTGGAGACCCCTCCAGGTTCCACAGCGTTTAGGAACCAAAATTCCGTCCAGCCTGTCCCTTTGATTTCTTTGGACCCAATGCAGCCCTGGAGAGGCCGGCCATGCAAGTCCTGGACCCCCAGACACCGTCGTTCCCCTGGGGTGAGGTGTCGGGCACGCGGTCAGCCACCTGGGTGACCATGGCTGACCGAGGACTCTGGTCCGATGACCCAGGACTCTGCACACAGACGGCCAGCAGTCGAGAGGACAGAATAAATGTTTCTGAAAGATCCAATGACCTGAAGGCACCTGTTCCCAGGAGGGGAGGTCAGCACCCTCCAGCAAAGCAAAGGAGGGACCCAGACGGGGGGGGGGGGCAGTGGGAGGAGCCCAGGAGGGGGGGGAGGGGAGGCCCTGCCTGGGCTGCTGGGCACAGACTTGAACTCGGGCCTCAGCTGGGGACCAGGGAGGGACACAAGCACCAGGAATATAAGGAACACGAGGCTGAGGGGGAGCCCCACAGCCCCGTGACCCTGCCCACGGCACCCACGCGCAGTCACCTACGTGCTACACCTCGTGCAGAATTCCTCGTCGCCAGGGGCTTTGTAGAAACGGCCTGGTCGGCACCGGCAGCTCATGCTGCTGGTGTCAGTGCACTCGGCCACCTCATCTTGGTCTGCAGTTCAGGAAAGCCTGCGTCAGTCCTGGGGGACCCACCCTGTCCTCGTGCACAGGGGCACCTGAGTGGGATTTGGGCTGGAGACCCTATGGCCCGCGACAGAGCTCAGCCTGCCACAGCGGGTACCCTGGGCCGGTCTGAGGGTTCGTGTAACCCTGCGGGGGACGCCTCTGCCACCTGGTCCCACACCTGTCTCCCCAGGGCCAATGCCCGGGTGGGGCGCTGGTGCAGGAACAGGGTCACACAGACACATTTTGAACCACAGTCTCAAAATGCCTCCACCAGGGAGTTTCTTTTTAAAAAACCTAGCTTGCCTGACTGTGTCTTCACCAATACCGCGTGTCCACCTCTGGGGCTACAAAAAATAAGTGCGTTTTTCCTCTAGGGTTGGCCACTTATAAAGCGTGTTTACAGAATCCGTGCCCACAGGAACACTGAGGTTTCAGGGTCACGTGCACTGGACCCCGGAGGGGAGGGCACAGTCGTCTGACTCTGAGCGAGGGAAGAATCCGGCCTCCGCCACACCCGGGGTGTCGGGGCTTCGGGGCGGGTGGGGGGAGTCTCCACTGCGCTCTCTGCAGGGGAACCCAGGGGACATTTTCAAAGGAAAGTGGGGTGACAGTTGGTCCGAGTGTGGACTGGTGTTGGGGATCACTGCTGGTTCCCCTGGGTGGGTGATGCACCCCTGGTGCGTGCAGGAAGTGTGGGAGGTGGTGAGCTGGGGTGAAACACGGTATCATCTGCAGGTGACTGGGAAGTGGTTCTCACCCCCTCGTACACACAAAAACACACTTATGCACATGTGTGTACACAAATGCACATGTGTGCACATACACTCGACCACACTTGCACACACATGCACAAGTGATCAAACAGCGCCAACTGTTAAATGATCGGCGGCCTCTGTGCTACCTTTCCCGTCCCCACCAGGGTGGAAGGGGCTGGTGACACGCAGTACATCATCCCTGACTCCCTGAGGGGTGACGCTGACCCTGCTGCCTCTCCGTGTGCGTGTGCGTGGGATTTCCCAGTTTCCCACATCGGACTGAGCACCTTCCCGCGTGAACACGATGACAGAATAGACATGGGGCTGAGAATGTGGAACCGGAGTGGCTCTCTGGGTCCTGTCACTTTCCTGCTGTCACACTACGTGGGGACCAACCTGGGAGCTGACGGACGTCTCCAGCCGCGTCTCTGCGGGGCTGTGAGCTCCGCACTGCGGGACCGGGACGTCCCTCCTTCACCCGAAGGCCCCGCTTTCCCCTCACGTGTCTCGGCTGCACCGTGACCGTCCCTGTGGCCAAGTCCCGAGGCCCGACGTGAAGGTCCGGCCACGGCAGGGTCAGGGGCTGGCAGGTCAAGGCCAGGCAAGGTGCCCGGGGGACACTCACCCTGGGAGCAGGTGCCACACAGCAGGCAGGACTCCAGGCCGTTGGGGAACGCCGTGAACGTGCCTGGGTCACACTTGTCGCACTGTCCCCGGGTGTGGGGGCGGCTGCAGGGTTCACGGACATGCTCCCCTGTGCAGGAGGTGGGCGCTGCGGTCAGAGCCCCTCCAGGCTGGAGGGGTGTCCCTGCTGTGCGGCCTGCCCACCCCATCCTGGGGGCAGCCCCGCCAGTGGGAACAGGGAAACACTTCTGTCTGCAGTTTTGGATCAAAGTGACCTCTGGACGTCACTCCTTCTTGGACATGAGGAAGCACAGACCTGTCGGGATCCCACCTCGGCCTCCTGTCCCTGCCCTGCACCCGCCCCTCTGCCAGCTGTACTGTGGGCTGCACAGGGACCCCAGCCCCCAACCCGCAGACACTGAGGACCCCGAGGATGCGCCTCTTGTCCAGGGTCAGGGAAGGCAGCAGGACCATGTCCCAGCGCTCCGCCTCCCAGCCAGGGCCCAGGCTGAGCCTCTGGGAGGAGCTCCGCCCAGTTCCCACCCACAGGGG